GGCCTACTGATGTTTGGTTTTAATGGGACCCTCAGGTGGACAGTATCTGAGTCACCTAACTTCGACTACACTCTACAGTTAGCCTGTCGCAGCACAGAACTATGGCCAACCAACGTCGCTATAGGTTAATCAGAGCCTTCAATGAATGGAGTAGGTCTTATAGTATCATGTCTCTGCCTCTCATTGTAAACGAACTGCTGCTTCGAATTGTACAGGTTTACTCAGAGCATACAAGATAAATCGTACATATTGTGGCGACACAATATCACCGAGCTACATTAATATTTGTCAATGGGTCACCATTGATATGCGACTTTTAGGATAGCCAGGCTTTTTCTAGATAACACTTATAGTGGGATTGTAAATGAGAGAAATAAAATGACGAAGAAGCAACGGGTTTTGATAAATCTCCCGAGATAAAATCATTTTGGAAATTAAATTTTGTGTGAAATTGCATGATGAAGAGGTTCGTAGGCTGACCTCATCATAAGACAATGGCTGGTTCTCGTTTTTACTGCAGCCGAAAAGCTTTAATACGGCGCTCAGATTTACACAGTCCAATGGACATCTTCCCTCTTTTCGGGTCAAACGGGCTGAGCGCTCACTCGCCATTAGACGAAAAGCATCAAGGCTGGAACTCATGCTTGTGAAAGTTTTAAGTTGGCAATGGGTTAAGAAATTCAAATAAAACGCATTCCTATTTATATGATTGTGATAAAATTCAACTGGCAGTTATCCATTACCTTATACAAATTAGTGTAAATACCAGAAGGTATAAAGGACAAGATGGTGTGGCCTTTTTTGTGGTCGCAGTCTCCTTTCATTGTATAGAGGTTGTTTAGCCTTGCTTTTGCAACTTGGTCATATTGGTAGAAAGACATAGAGGAACATATCTAGTCCGGAGTCCATTGCATGCATAATCATTTCCAAAAATGGGCCATGGACGTGGTACATTCTCCGAAGTTTCGCCAGCATCGTCAGTGAGTCTCGCCATTCCTAGCATCACACAACAACTCGTGAAAAGCAACAAGTGAAGCCGTTCCTTTGACCAAACGTGGGCTAAACAGTTGTGATATCTCCTCTTCTGCCCTGGGCTATTCACATTTCCTATATCCTCCAATCACGCCCTCAGTGTTACAATTTTTACCGTGCCTATTTCGATGTAATGGGGTGTGCTTCTTTGAGCAGCATTCATGAAAACCCTTTACACTCAACGCTGTCGTTCTCACCACCTTTACCCGTGGGCTGGGAATGTTGATCAAAGTCAACCATATTGTTAGGCAGTCCTCCTCTCCTAGATCTCATCACAGTCTCTCTCTTGTCCCGTAAGATCCGTCTGCTATATCCCTGGTTTACGTATTTCACTCGACCCCTTCTACCTCATCTGTGCTACTCGAGGCGTTATTCGCCCTCCTTGCGCCTGGGTGACTAATTCGATGCTAAAGCCTCTGAGTAAGTGTAATCGTCAAGCCTTTACTACATGGACCACGTCTATGGTAAAACCTACAACTAGATCCAGTCTCCGCCGTGCCTATCCTATTTATATCCCAGCAAAATTTATTTGCTTGAAGCTCAAGATAGTAAATGACAGACTCTCGGATTCCGCTAAGAATTCATATGAATTTTCTCAAAGGATCCAGAACATTGGGTTAGCGGAGTCGGAACTGTTGGTGAGTTTCGATGTACAATCCATGTACACAAATATCTCAGGTGAGAAGGCGGTAAGCGCCTTGCTGAAGATAGTGGAGCGAGAAGAGGATATCCTGGAGGCAGAACGGATACGGAAAGAATCGTTAACACGACTGATCAACCTGACAGTAAGGACGACGTATTTTAATTTAACGGCAGTATCTACCAGCAAATATTTGGACTACCGATAGGATCTCCACTCTCACCTCCTTTGGCAAATGTGTACATGGACAAGTTGGAAAGGGAATTCGAGAAGTTGCCACTGCACCAATAGTGCTTATGCGATATTTGGATGACTAATTTGCACTGACACGGATTTGCCCTAGTAACGGATACCCCAGAGAGTGTATTAAAAAAATGTAGAGGTTATGACTCCATATGCCCTAGTCTCGTGTTTCAACCCACAAACGTTGTAGTTTAACATTGAACCTAATCAAAGCAAGCAGTACCACAACATTTGTGGGTTAGCACATAAGAGGTTAAGGCATAGCAAGTCATAGACTTGGTATTACGGATAGAAATAGGATAGACGTGGCGGAGACTGGGTCTAGTTGTAGGTCCTACCATAGACGTGGTCCATATAGTAAAGGCTTGATGATGACACGTACTTAGAGGCTTTAGCCTCGAATTAGTCACCCAGACGCAAGGGAGGACGAATAACGCCTCAAGTAGCACAGATGGGGTGGCAGAGGTCGAGTGAAATACTTGAACCAGGGCGATAACAGACGGAATCTACGGGTCAAGAGGGAGACTCTAATAAGACCTAGGGAAGGAGGACTGCCTAACAATATGGCAGACTCTGATCAACATTCCCAGCACAAGGGTGAAGGTGGTAAGAACGACAGCGTTGAGTGTGAAGGGTTTTTATGAATGTCGCTCAAAGGAGCACACCACACTACATCTAAATAAGCAAGGTAAAATTGTAACAGTGAAGGCGTGATTGGAGGATATAGGAAATGTAAATAGCCCAGGGCAGTCAAAGGATCGGCTTCACTTGTCTCTTTGACGAGTTGTTTTGTGGTACTAAGAATGGCGAGTCTCATTGACGATGCCGGCGACACGTCTTGGAATGTACCACGTCCACGGTCCGACTTTAGAAATAATTATGCATACAATGGACTCCAGACTAGGTGCTTTCCTCTAAATCTTCCTAACAATATGACCAAGTAGCGAAAACAAATTTAAACAACATCTAGGGTAAATACTATCCATTTTAGATAATTCTTGCCACTAAGGATGGTGAATACCTTATTTTAGAGAATTTATTTAGTACAAAAGGGCGTGATAAAGAAATTCTTAGATAGATCATGCCAGAATAATCTTCTTGAGTTGAGACATTTACAAGATTTAGTTTTGGCTCTAAGGATTTTTTAGATTATGAACGAAAGCTCAGCCCGTTTTCTTCCGAAACGAAGTTCTTGAGGAATTAGTCAACCTGAGCGCCGTATTAAAGCACAGCGGTTAAAGCAAAATGGGAATCAAACATTGTCTTCTGTTCAGATCCACCTATAAAATTCTTCCTTCTGCACTTTTATACGAAATTAAAGTCCACAAGACAAGGGTTATTTACATTTGTCAATGCAAGCAACGACGATAATTTTCATCGGGAGTGATTTCCGAGACTCAGTAATTCATGTTTAAGAATCTTGTCAGCCTAGCTAACCCAATATGTGATATCATCAGTAGATGATAGCTGATTCCCGTTGTATTACAGCTGTTTGGATTTAATTCGACGCTCTGGTCGACGCAGTCCAAGAGACATCTATCGATTTAAGCGAAGACAGTCTGAGCTTTCGTTCTTCATATGTTGAACAAAGCCAGAGCTGGACGATGCAAAACTTCAAGTTAGCACTAAGTCATAAAGAATGATCGTCTAGGGTATTGAACTGCCGTCCAAATAAAGGTGACTCAAATTGCCAATTGGGTAACCGTTCCAGCCAAAATCATACTCGTTTAGCGTTATATGAAGCTCATGAACCAAGGCAGACGGGCGAAACTACGCAATCCCAACCATGCTTTTGCTTTAATCATTCATAACCCAGACTAATGGGTTTCGTAATCTGACTTTCACGAGTATAGGCCTGGATAAAAATCAATCCAACCAAGTTTACTTACGGATGAATGTAGTCTCAACAGTGCTTTTTTCTTCGAGACATTAAACTTTGATGATCTGGGGCTGAGGTTAAGCTTTTTTCTAATTACTCAGAATTTTGGTCGGTTTTGCGTACAGAAGTTAACATACACACACGTGCGCACTCGAGTATATCCATATACATCTAAATTTTTTCTTGCAATGAATATATATATCACAGAGGAAAGAGCTACACGGACTTTTTGACGTGAAACCTTTTCAAGGTGTCCCAGCTCTTACGATGTTAGCAATATGACTGTCTTCGCCCGGAACGATAGAGGATGTCTTGTAGACTATATCAACCTAATCGTCGTATTAAGGCCAAACGGCTGCAATACAATGGGAATTAGCCGTCCTCTTCTGGTGAGACGACCTACGCATCTTTCCATCATGCACTTTCATACGAAATGAAAATCGCCACAACGAATGAATATCATCATAAGTGTTTAGCCTTCCTTAACGCTGACAATAATGTCCTTTATAGATGATTTAATTTGCGTCCCCGTCGTCATACCTAAAGTATGTGTACATGCCTCGAGTCCAGGTCAAGGACATTTAGCAAATTAGTTTCAGATAGTGGCATGAGATAGGCGAAAATAGTGCACATAATCCAGCATTGAGATTGGAGCATTTCTAAAGCATTACATAGGTAACGTGATCTAAAGATTCATAGATAAGGTCAGCTGATCAAAATATAAAGTACGAGGTGATTAGCCTCCGACAAAAGTAGCATTTCTAATCCATTAGCTACCTAGCAAAAGTGCCTTTTATGGGAAAGTGAAATAAGCCCAACAAATAGAGGTCGGGTCCCATAAACGGCTGACAACTTAGCTATTGTGTTCAGACAGGAAAGAGCGATTCCTTAATTGGTCTTGGGGTTAATAAAAAAAACTACACTGTTTAAATGGCAGTAATCTTTAACGAGGAAACTTTATATATTTAATCGAAGATATGAAGACCAAGATGGTGTGGCCTTTTGTGTGGTCGCAGTCTCCTTTCGTTGT